CTAAATATAAATCTATACAAAAATCTTTAGCTTCCCAAAATGAAAACTTGAGATATACAAGAAAAAAGCTCTAGAATCTTATATAGGTCACAGTCAAACCTATAATTGCAACAAATATGGTTACTGGCTTCAAGATCACAGAACCCCACTGAATAACTTAAAACTCCCAAAAACTTGCATCTTCAACAATCTTGAGACCATCCACCATAAATCTTCAATCTCCAAAGTTCTCCTCTCTTTTGCTCCAAAAATGTCCCTAAAGGTGCCAAAATCAATGAGACAGAGAGAGACAGGGGGAGTGGAAGAAATGGTTGAAAACCCTAAAATTAGGCTTAAAAATGCTCTAGACAACTTTCTACGACCTTAGCTGCGACCCAAGTCACGGGTCAGGTCACTCGTGTCTTGCTGGTAAGTAGACATTAAAGGTCCAATGAGATTCTTGCGGTGGAACTTAGCTAGAGAAATGGGTGGGCACTGAGGTTTAACGAGTCATTGAGATGGAACTCTTTAGAGTAGATGCTAAAGGTATATGAAGGCTTGAGGGGACATGAAAAATAGGTGTGTACTAAAGCCATGATCTGAGGTGAACCCCAATAACATCATTACGTGGCAATATCTTTGTGTTCCTGCCACTTGATGAAAACGAGTCTCCCCCGTCATAAAAGGATGTTGTGTATATAATGTCCATGTTGGGACAACTTATTATGAGGCACCACGTTGCACAACTAATGTCGTTACAAGTAACATCTTTTAATTTACTTCTCTCCACTTATTTTTGTAAGTTCAATTGTTCTTGTCGGCATGTGTACGAGGTCCTACTAGTGGTGGATCTAGGACCGCTTGAGGAGCTTTGTTGGTGCTACTTAGAAGCATCACGAGTAGAGATCTTTTCGGGAGCATTTTTGTGTGAAGATGGACTCGCAGAGATTTACTAACACCCGTATGTAATCTAGTTCAATGCTGGATTAGTTTAATAGGTTGTTACTCATATTTCATTCTTTATTATTGTACTTAATTAGCTAACTTTCCGTTCGTGGGTTTAAGCCTCTGTCTTATTTTATGGAAATTTTTTGTTCTTTCAATTGATAGTTTGTAACTTTTTAGGGCTGTTACAGAAATCTCAACTCAACTAATGTAGCAGACAAAAAAAACAGATAAAAAAGAAAAAACCTCAAGAAACGAATATTAAAATACACGAGTAAGCGTACAAATGCATGTCGTTATACTAGAGTCATCAAATACACATGCTAATATGTATTGTCAACATATATTGTAAAATTAAAGAATGATATTTTTATTATCTAAACAAAGGAATATATTGGAGATAATATAGGTTAATAATTTAGTGTCTTGTTGTAATTTTTGTAATGAATTCGTCATACATTCTTCTGTAGTGTTTTTGAACAGGTTCGTAATCTTGAATAGTTTCGGCTATTTGAACATATATTTTTTTTTAAATGGAAAATGTTTTGAGAACCGAATATGTGGCACACTCGTGGTTTTCGAGGGGTGATACAACAATCAACTCCATCATCTTATTTCAATAAGGGTTGTCTCCCCTTCCACGACTCGGTTATATTCTAATGATTGGTTGGCATATCACAACTCCTATGTTATGAATCCACCATCAACTTCATTTTATCTTTGGACTTTGCCGACCTTAAAAGTATGAATTATTAGTCTGTCCAAAAATCAATTATATGATTTGTTGTGTGTTTAAATATTGTATTTTAATACGTTTCTAGTCAAAAATTTACTTTAGCTTAGGTTGGTGTAATACGACAAATGAATAACATATGCAGGAATTCATATAGGGTGTGTTTGGTACACAGACAGGACATGACGGAACAGAACAGGACAAAATACAATAAATAAAATTTAAAGAATGAGTAAAATGTAAAAGAGAGATCTATTTGATGTTTTAGAAGAGAATTAAGTTTTGTTTTGAGGTTATATTGGTAAAATATAAGTATGTTCCACTATGTTCTTGTTTGTTCCACATAAAATTCATGCCAAATATGGGACAGAGATCCCTGTCATGTTCTGTCATGTCCCTGTCCAGTGTACCAAACGCACCCATAGAGATATAAGAAGCCACATATGGATATAAGTTTGGGATATCGTGTGATGAATGTTACTTGCTTTGAGCATACTCAATTAGACGTATAAGTTTTTCTCATGTGGACACTGTTCAAAGTTTGTTGTTTGTGAGACTGCAAGTGACATGTTTTGTCAATGGTTCTAATAATGTCATAATCGAGTAACACAATATTATCGTGTATGTCATATATCACATAGTAATACTAGCATGGATTGATATATGATTTGTCCATCGTGTATGACATGAGAGTTATCTTTGGACACTTTATAGAATGATGCTATGGAAATACATGTATGCTCAAATAGTCGATATGGGACATTGACGTCTATTTTTCCCAGTATATTTAGGATAAAAAAACTAAATATTGGACACAACGAGGATGCCACATCTAAACTTTGTGTTAAATCTAGATTTTAAGGACAAAGGGATTCAAATATTTTATGATTAGTTGAATCATCACATTATTGTTATTTGAGGTAGCAAGATGTATTGTCAGATGTCGTTGTCTTTTCTAATACCATATGTATGTTATAATTGTCACTGATATGACAAACGAGTAAAATGATAATTTCTATCATTCAGACTGTTTATTAAGCGTACAAAACAATTATATTGATCTTAATATAGATAACCATTTTTAACCCAGACATGTCTTGCAGATCGTTTATCAAACGCTTACCTGTAAGAATCAATACTCTCACTTATCTTACCACATAAGATTGTCGGCCATCGAAGGACAAACAACCTTATCTAGTAAGTGTTAACCAGGTAAAAGTCACCACACTTACCATGTAAGATATCTAATCATTGATATGTCTCTTACCTGATAAGATTCTCAATCCTTACCATACTCACTCGATAAAATGAATGACCGAATCAGTATTTAATAAATAACCCTAAAGAGAAACATGTTTTCTTTCCATCATTACTTTAATAGCTTATTCATTTAACCATCAAACAATATTTAGAGGTCGTTTACCAAACACTTATCCGATAAAATTTAATACTGTTATTTATTTACTAGGTAAGATTTTAGTCCACCAAAACAACATTGTATGCAACAATTTACCTGGTAAGCGTTTACCGTGGTAAGAGTTGTCGCCCTCACTTACTGGATAAAACTCTTGGTTTTTGTCATACTCTTACCGGGTAAGATTTTTAATACTTACCATATTCATCCAATAAGATAATATTACTTAATAAATACTTACCAGGTAAAAATTTAGTAAACAGCCTTTAGTTTTGGTTTTTAATCCAAAAATTTAAAATGCTATGATTCATAAACCATCATCCATTTTATTCCTTTGTTGTAAAAACAATTATGACACATATCCACGTCACATTCCACAATGAATACATGAGGCTCACATGCAATAGCTTAAAGAGGTTGCACTTCGCCTAATCTTTTATCATGAATTACAAAACTAAACCCAAGTTTTGGGTAATTTACAATCAAACACCCGACACTTCTAATTAGTGCAATCAAGTCCTTGATGTTCTCATGTCTTGTGGTTCATGTCCCTGACATCGTCAATTAGTAAATTGATGGATTAGTTAACCGTCTTCATATTTTCTTCACGGGAAATTTCTTATCTTGAAAACTGCTATAAATGAAAGTGTTAAAAAGGTATATGCTGCCCTCGATGTCATATCAACCGTTGGTGGGAAGACCTAAGATTTTTGTAGAGCGTTTCCACCTTTAAGGTGGATCAAAAGTTCGAGAAGATGTCAGCCTCTTGTTTCTTACAGAAAACTCACTTCACGAACTGTATGAATTAGAGGACAACGACAAAAGTGAAAGGAGGAGGTCTATTTCGTTGATCGATGTCAATGGACGGAGAAAAAATGTCATTTGCTGCACAAAGTTACCCAACGTGTTTTTAAGGGAATCCCACTATTTTCAAGGGATTTTAAGTTTTTTGGTTGATTTCAAGAGACTTTTTCTATTTTTTGAATGATGTCCCTTGTATTTATTAATTTCCTGGAGCACCCCTCAAGATTTATCGTGTGCACCTTTTCATACCCCAAATGAAATTTACTTGTAAAAGTCGGTTGAATTGGCGTACTGGACTCTCTAGGACCTTCATTGGTCCGCCCCTATCGACCATCAGATAAATGGTTGGTACTCAGATTTGAACCCGAAACCTCGCTTGTGGTTTTGCACATCCTTACCACAATGATAATTTATCATGGACATAGTGAAGGTGTTTCGATGCACTTCAATTGAATTTTATGATTTGAAGGCATATTTGTTTTACTTGTAATGGTAAACAGATTGTCATTCTAATATTCAAAATACTTATGGTTAAAAAGTTTAGATATGGATAATCGTATACATGGATGTTTCAATCTTTTTGGAGACTCTGCTACATCCATAACTTTTGATTACATTGCATAAATGAGATGACAGAGAATATATGTTAAGAATAAAATGGGCTAAACCTAAAACGATTAACAATCTGAAACTAAACCTAAACCATTAATGATTTGAACCTAAAACCAAGTAAGTAATGGTTTGAACCTAAATAATTTCGGCTATAGTTTTACATAGGTCGATAAAAAACCCCTAAACACACGTAAATTTGTTGGGAGTCCTGCTCAAAATCTCGCATTTAACATGCTAAAGGACGATCTTGATCGTATAAGAAATTACTGTAAGAACTAATTATCAACATAAATATGAAATTACCTAACTAACCCTACTTTTAACCAAATACTTTTTTTTGATTTTTCAAAGTTGTAATAATCATTTTGAAGTTTACATGTGGTAGCATGATGTGAAAGGTATCAAGTGAGTTAACAAGGACTAAATTGAAACAAGTTTGAAAGTTCAGGGTTCATTTGGTGCATGCCAATAAATAATCACAAATAGATGCAACAATAAATAAACAAAAAAACTGATCTTCGTCGGACGTCATCTTTTCTCCGGCGAGCTTCTTTCCGGTATTGTTTGCAAGGACAATTCCGGCGATTTTCGGTGAACAAATTAGAATGAAAAAAGTTTTGTAGAAACAAAGAATTAAAGATGAGCGCTTCTCCTCCTTCGTCATTTTTCTCTCATTTTTGCTCTTCAGCTCTCAGAACTAAACCACTTAGCAATTCATCGGACGTCGTTCGTATAAACTCCGGCGAGGGTTTAGTTCGCCGTCTTGGTCCTTTTGATCTGATTCTCCTCGGCATTGGCGCTTCAATTGGAGCCGGCATCTTCGTCGTCACCGGCACCGTCGCGCGCGATGCTGGTCCTGGTGAGTGTCATTAAACTTTAACTCAAGTGTTTTATCCAATCTACCTTACTTTGCAATTGAGGATGAATACGAAAGTATTAGTTTGTATATTGTTGCGTAAAGGTGGTTTTTCGTAGATATTAAAATGATCATACAAGAGCTGTTGTCGCTGTTTCTGAAGTTAACCTTAGCGTTCATACGATTTTAATTTTGGAAGTAGCTTTTGAATGATTAAAACGTTTTAACTTTGTTATAGTACTGGAAATAATGCAGGAGTCTATAACAGAATGCTTAGATTTCTGTGTGATTTGTAAGGTCTGAGTAGTTAAATTGTCTGACCAGCTTTACAAATTATAGATCTAGCAAGTGTTCAGATTAAAGTAGTTCTTCCCTTCACCCTTAGATAATGTTTAGTGTTTTCATGTACATAAAGAACAAAGGAAATAGTCAAAGACCTTCGAGCCTAGTGGTAAAGGCTTGGGCATGGCATAGTCATGAACCCAAGTTCGAGCCCTGGGAAGGGAAGTGTTGGCGACATTTAAGTGGGGCCATGTTTAGCCTCCAAAATTGCCGGGGATTAGTCGGGCTTTGGCCCGGACAACCTTACAAAAAAAAAAAAAAGAACAAAGGAAATAGAATAGCAAGTAGTAAAATGATGTCTTTCTGAGGATATTCCTCTGTCAACTGAGTTCTCTAAGCAAGTATGATGCCTTCGTTTGTTTAAGAGCTAAGCAGGAAAGTCCAAGCAAATTACAGTCCAAACATAGAAATGTGCTACTTTTGTTGAAACAAAGGTAGCGTTTGGTATGCAGACATGACAGAACCGGACAAGACTGGACAGGACAAGAGGGTATGACTGGACTGGACTGGACAAAACAAGTGTATGTCTGGTGTTTGGTACGACTAGGACTGGATAGGACAAATTTAGATAAGTTGCCCCCAAAAGTTATTTTATGATTTAATATATCATATAATAGTATAATTAACACAAATAAAGTAAATAATTTAATAACATTTTTACACAATTTTCATATACATAAATGTAAAATAGTACCAAATTTGAATGAAATTTTTTATATAATTAATGTTATTTTGATAAAACCCGATTTTTACAAAGGAGAAATTATGTTTTATTCGGTTTGGAAGATCCTTATCAATTGGCGAAGACATGGTAAAGATTATTGCAACAACAATGGTTGTGGAGGTAGAAGCATTGGTAATTGGTGGACGATAGTGGTTGTGGAGGACGTGAAGATGGTGGATAGTGGTGGTGTGGCGGTCAACAGTGGTGGAGGAGGTAGTTGTGGCCTATGTGGTGGTGGTAGGTGTGATGGTGGGTAGTGGTGGTGGTTATGGTGGAGGTGGTGGTGGCCGACGATACTCGTGGTGGTGGAGATGGACGGTTGTGGTTATGGAGGACATGAATATGGTAGATAGTGGTAGTGGTAGCAGATAGTGGTGGCCGACGGTGGTGTGGTAGTGGTAGTGGTAGCTGGTGGTGGTGGGCAGTGGTAGTGGTAGCCGATGGTGGAGGTGAGGTAGCCCATGGTGGTGGCGATGAATGGTGTTGGCGGTGGCCGACAATGGTTGTGGAGGTGGCCAATGGTGGTAGTGGTAGTGGCAATGGACGGTGGTGGTCAGTGGACGACGATAGTTGTGGAGGTGGTGGAGGTTGTAGTAGAAGAGAAAGTGGAGGTGGCCAACGGTGGTAGTCGTGGTGGCAATGGACGGTGGAGGTCAATGGACGACGATGGTTGTGGAGGTGGTGGAGGAGGTTGTTGTAGTAGAAGAGAAGGTGGAGGTGGCCACGGTGGTAGTGGCAATGGACGGTGGTGGTAGGTAGCCGATGGTGGTTGTGGAGGTGGTGATAGACGGTAATAGTCGATGGTCGATGGTGGTTGTGGAGGTGGTGGAGGAGGGGGAGGTTGCCGACGGTGGCTACCGGTGGTAGCGGCAGCCACAACTAACGGTGGTGACCACTAAAACAATTACCATGTTAAGGTTATATATCAAACGAGGGTGGGTTAGTAATATTTTAGTTTCTGTCTCATTCTTGTCCCATCTTGTTCTACCTATTTTGGTGGAACAAGAAAAAGCCTTTTTTGTCCCACGCTGTCCCATCTTGTCGTAGTTCTTGTCCTTGTCCCATGTCGCACCAAACATGGGACAGTGAGTTATTGTCCTGCCCCATGTCGCGCTAAACATGGGACAATGAATTTTGTCCCGTTCTGTCCTATCCTGTCCCATGTACCAAACGCAGCCAAAAGGAACACAGTTTTTGCTTATTTTAGTTATGTTAGCCTTGTTAAGGGTTGGTACTCTTATGTATGTAATGTGTGGAGTTAAATTCAGGGTTTTATTTCATGTTTTTCAAATCAGTTCAAAGACCAATGCATTGCCTTTGTATGCTCTCTTCTTCATCCATGGAACTGGAAGAGACAATGCCCCCACTTATTTGATGGTGTCAAAGCTGCTAGTATATCTATTGTCATTGGACCCTAGCTTCTCATATCAGCTCGCCACTGCTGCCCACCTCTGCTGCCACTACCTTATTCTTTCATGGTATCAGAGTTATCACTTTATTTGAATTTGATGTTCACAAACCTAAAAGTTAGTCTCTGGTTTGCGCTTTTTGTCATGTACGGCTACTTGTGAGTGGAGACCATCTGTACCTGAGAGTTTTTGGTGGAGTGCTATAGCTTGTCAACTCCAATGTTGTTCAAGGACAATTACTTTTTCTAGGATACATGAAGGATATCCTATCAAACTCATGTAGAGGAGATGTAAAGGGAAGTTTTATATACTAAACACATGCCATGCAATACCTTGTGTTGCAACCCCCTTTTGGTAACTTGAAAGTTTAGACGAGAATGAGATCGCCGTGCTGTAAATTTTTTTTTGTCCAATCTCAGGCATACTGGGGGTAAGATCTTGAAACAATTTTCTTTTTCTCAATGTATTAAAACTTTTACATGCTAGCTTAATTAATGCTGTACATGATACCTTATTAGTTATTACCTTAATTAATGAAACTTCTATCTGATATTCTTAAGAGCTTTGCGTAGGATGTTATGCCCTATGATATTGCAATCTTAGCCTTATTTCATGAAATGCTGGATAGTCTGTTGGTATTTGTCTTGACTTGCTAGGATTTTCGGAATCCCAAAAGGTTTTCTAAGTTGGCGACTTACTAGGATATCTTGAAGTTCTCCAACATGATACTTGCTCCGCAACTGTGATATGAGTTGTTGCATATGATTATTCAGAAGACCGTCCAGAGTATTACTAACAGATTTATTTATTGCAGGAGTTACAATTAGCTTTATACTCGCAGGAGCATCATGTGTCCTTAATGCTCTTTGTTATGCTGAGCTAGCTTCTCGTTTTCCTGCAGTTGTTGGGGGAGCATACATGTATACTTACACAGCTTTCAATGAGCTCACTGCTTTTCTTGTTTTTACACAAATGATGCTTGACTATCATATTGGTGCAGCTAGCATAGCACGGAGCTTAGCAAGCTACGTCATTAATATATTAGAGCTCATTCCCTTCCTCAAGAATAATATTCCAAATTGGGTTGGGCATGGCAGTAAGGAGATTTTTGGGTTTATATCCATCAACCTATTGGCTCCAGTCCTTCTGGTACTCCTGACTATAATCCTGTGCCGTGGTGTTGGAGAATCTTCACTAGTGAATACTATTATGACTACAACCAAGGTGATCTATGACGATTCTCTTTCACTTTTATCCTTTAGCAATTAGGAATCTAATGCAGGAAAAAGGAAACAAAAATGTTCCTCTGATCAATTTTGTAGTCAATGTTGCAAGCAGAAGCGTTCATATCGTCCACAATTATTATTTTCTGGAAAAAATACACAGAGAATGAAGAGTGGAAATCTGCAATTTTACTCGATGAATCTGATCAGAGATACATCACATTATATGTTCATTAGGAAACTAACTACTAACAACCTCTTAACTACTAACTAATCAGTTGATAAGTCAACTGTTACTACTAAATAAGCCTTCTATTGTAACCCCTACCCCCCCCCCCCCTTTTCAAGATGAGCATGGAGAAAAGATGCTCGTCAGTGCCATCTTGGACATTAGTGGTAACAACTTTGAACTTGGCAAAGGCTTGGTAAACATGTCAGTAAGTTGTATCTTCATCCGAATGGGAATCAACTTCAAAACTTGTATTACTTTCTTCCTAGTGAAATGACAATCAGTTTCTATATGCTTCAATTAGTTTCTTCTTCAAAATTTGAAGTTGTTGTATAACTGTCGTTCTATTTGATTAATGGTAATCGAAGAAGGCCCTGTGATGATCATCTGCATAGACAAGAATATCAACAAAATTTTGTCAAGTACCTTTATAGACTAGAGAGTAATCTGCTACAACTGAGTGAAACCTGCATTGATCACAAAAGAACGAGAATCCGGCATATCATTGTCTTGGATATCTATCGTAGCCCATGCAGAGATTTGTTGAGTCTACAAACCAGCTGTAAATCCATATATACCTCGACATGTAAATGCCCATTTAGAAAAAGCATTGTTCTCGTCTAACTGAATTAATCCCATGAATTAGCAACTGCTATGGCAAGAAGTTGTTGACGACAGCCACTAGAGAGCGAGTGCCCAAAAAATCAGCACCTCTTGTTGACTGACCTTGCCACTAACTGTGCTTTATACCTTTCAGTCTGTCTATTTGCACCACATTTGATCTTGTAATGTAAACCCATCTACATCCAATTACATTTTTGTGGGCTGGAAGTTCAATGACAAACCACGTATTGCCAGCTACCATGGCATCCAATTCATCCCTCATGGCATTCTATTCATGGTGTCTAATTGCTTGATGGTATGATTTAGGCTCAAAATTAGAACAGACTGTCATGAAAAATGATTTGTATTATTAAGATGACAAATCATAACATAGGTAGTCTTCTAAAAGATAAAGTGTTCCATTGCTTTGCTTGTGAGAAGTAATGTCACATCTTAGGTGAATCCAACGTCACCGACAAGGAGGATGCTGGGTAGACCTGAAGAGAACGTCATAAATTTAACTATTTAAGTAGGGGAGCTTGTGACAAACCTGTCCCACATATGTAGAGAGTGAGGGTGTGAGCTTATAAGCCAAGATTTTTTGCTATCAATAACTTTCACCATGGTTTTTAGTTGATTTAGAAGTTATTTAGTCTATTTCTTTAGGCTTTGAGGCGTTACAAAAGGGTATCATAGTCGATCCTTATGCCAACGGGATGGTGGGGCAAACCTCATCAAGGATGATGAGCCCCTGAAGGGGGTGTTTTTGACATCTTAGGTGAATTCCACATCACCAATGAACAAGGAAGATGTTGGGTTGGCCTGAAGAAGATGTCATGAATTTAAGTGGGGGAGTTTGTGACAACCCGTCCCATATAGGTAGAGAGTGAGATTGTGAGCTTCTTATAAATCTTAAGTTGTTGGCTACCAATAGCTTCCACCATGGTTTGAAGTTGATTTAGACGTTTTTTGAGCTAGTCTATTTTGAAAATGATCAACATGATTGAGGCTTAATTGGTTTTAGAAGGCAAACACAATTTCATGGAACATGACATACCTCGAACAAAAGAATTGTTTGGATTGTAAACCAAAACAATTTATGAAAAAACATTCCTTGTGGATACCCAATGAAGACACAAAGTGTTGATTTGGGGCTGAATTTGGTTCTTTGAGAAGGAATTGTGGATGTAAAAGCAAGACATATAAATGTCCTCAATGTAGAATCTGGTAGCTTTTGGTGAAAAATTCTCAATGGGAGAATTATCACTGAGGAGCTTTGATGGAGTTCTGTTAATGAGGAAAGTAGCAGTAAGAAGGCAATATCTCCAGGGAGTAAATTAAATCCCTTGCAACATTCAATAAGTGTTGGTGTTTTGCATTTCCTACTGCATTCTATTGTGATCTACTTACACAAGATAATATGCAAGATTTCTTTCTCATGAAAAAAATGAAGAGAAATCAAGTTCCTTGGCATTATCTGAATGGAAGTGCTTGATTCTCCTTCCAAATTGTGTGATCGCCATATTATAAAACCGTGCGATAACATAGATTACATCAGATTTGTTCTTGAGTACATATGTCCAAGTGAACCTACTAATCTTCAACAATGGTAACAAAATACCTATATTCCAGGTGATAAGGTGTGTGATAAGGGATCCATATATCACAATATTATCAACAGGCTCATTGAACATATTATTCATGGAAGAAAACAGTGGCTGTTTTTGTTTAGCTAGTGGACATACAGGCATCTGAATTTGGAAAGAACGGAGGAATCTCTAAAAGAAAGCTGACTTTTAGTAACAACTAATCTCTTATTTGAGGATGTCCAATTCTCTTATGCAATGCTCCTAAAGAGATTGAATTAACAGCCGCTGATCTTGTATTGTCAAGAACATCATTTTGTAGTATGTATTGCCTCTTATCCTTGTTACCCTTGCCAATCATCGCTCTTCTATTCATGTCCTGAATTAGAGCATGGTCATAGTAAAATTGCACCACAAATTCATTTGTAATGGTGAATGCACCGACCGAGATTATATTGAGATGAAATTCAGGTACATATAATGATGTAAAACGTCATAAATCCGTCCACTTTAACATCTCTGACCATTCCAACAGCTACATTTTGTTTGGTGATGTGGATCTGAAATCTTTAATGTGTGTAGTATCTGTTAACATCTCAATGCAGTGACATATGTGTCTACAACTGCCGAATCAATAATCCATGTGTGAGATTGGACATGTGTATGAAATGCTAGAGTCTTGCATGTAACTGTGGACTGATGTGCAGATTCATCCCTTCAGCCTCATTAGTTGATGGAAAATCTGCACACATTCAATTAGAGAGTGCATATATCAGTTGTTGGCATTGATCATTATAAAATCTTTGCACAATATTATTCAAATTTCCATTCAATGTCTGGACATTGGAAGCAGTAGCAGCATTTACTTGACTAGGCTTCTATTTTGATTTCAAACCTGGTGGATATCCATGTATTTTGTAGCATCTCTCAATGGTGAGACATTGAAGCCGTTCCTTCTTTGTATTTCTGTAGCTGGTATGAGGGATGGAAACGGGGCGAGTAATGTCCAGGGATGCACGCCCCGTCCCTGCTCCCTGTTTATGCTCCCATCCCCGCCTTAGAATGGTATGCTAACTCCTTTGATTTGAGTTTTCTGTGCCATTGCGTTGAATACCATATGCTGCTGTCCAGGATTTGAAATGCTTTGTTGATGCTCATCTTGTGTTATTAGAGCAAAGACCGTGTTAATTGCAGGCAACGGATTCACCAACAGACCTGATCACGAATATGAGAAAACGACTCATTAGTCCCATCTAGAAATTCGTTATGTGTTCAGCTTGAAAATACGAGTCAATCATCTTAACCCATTCACATCTGCACTTTCAACATGAACACAAAGGGGGGAAATGTGACTATTCTTTGGAGAAGGATTTGAGTTTGATTAAATAAGCTCCAATGGAATCTTCGTTCTAAGTCAGATTTATCATATCACGACAAATCTGAAAGATTTGAGGTCCGTTGCTTTGTTGAAATCTTTCTTGTAGATATATCAAATCCCGTGAGCTGAATCTGTGAAAATCACACTGGCAGATATCTCCTTGGCAACGAAATTGAGTATCCAAAGTATCACCATATTGTTGTTGCCTACCCACAAGTTGAGATTAGACAGGTCAGATCCATGTGGTTTTCTTCAGTGAACCGTTGATGAACCCTAGCTTATTCTTCACAAAAATAGCGATTCTCATTGTGTTGGTCCATGATAGATAGTGGTCTCCAACTAATTGTTGATTGATAAAAATCAACCCTGGGTTATCAGAATGATGAAGGTAATGCAGGTCTATTCAGGATGATGGACTCTCTGAATCACCCATGGTGATTCGAAGAATGGAGATTCATAAATTCTTAGGGAAGGAGACGAAAGATTTGCTGATTTTCTTTTCTTACCATAATACGCAGGGAATGAAGAGAGGAAATCTTAAATTGTATTGGATGAATCTGGCCATAGATACAATACTTATTTATATGTATCATTAGGCAACGTACTAACTACTAACAACCTTTCAACTACCTTTAACTACTAACTTATCAGTTTAAGTCAACTCTTATCACTAATTAGCCTTCTATTGTAAGTCCCTGCTGATCTGTCCCAGCAGTAGAGGTGTGGGTGTAATCCATATGAGTGAGGTCCCGGGTTCCAGACATGCTGAGCTCCACATATTCTTGTACAGTCAAAAGGGGATCGACAAGCCTGGGTACCACTCCTCTGCCGATGGGACATATTTGTTGATTTACCTTCCCCATGATGATCATGGGACCAGTACGGTGGGAGTTCCTCAGAGGGTGGCATCTACCCCCTTTTTTCAGCCTTATATTGTAATATGAAACGGAAAATTACCATCAACAAGAAGATTGTCTTGGAGTTGGCAATGTGGAACTTTCACTGGTGGTACTTGATAATGTGTGTCCATTAACAGGATGATAGATATTCTTTGAAAATTGGTTAAGCTCGTCATTCAGCTGTGAGAAATTTACATCTCAAAATATACAAACCTGCCAGTGAGTATGCTACTGGCTAGAAATGTTGTTAATAATGTTTATAACATGCTTGCACTGTCATCTTTTTCTAGAATGGAAGAAAACCCTTAGTTGTATTTGATTCAGTATCTCCTTTTATCAAGTTTACAACTGCAAACTGTTCTGTTCCCTTTTTATCCACCTATCCTTTTACTATGCTTCTACTGATAGTTGTGGGGGTAATCTGCCTTCTTTGGCAGGATATATACATATTTTCGTATGATTACCTTACTTCTGTTAGATCATAACATTTCATCCTTTTGTGGCTAATGGCAGATAGTTATTGTTCTTGTGGTCATTATTGTCGGTGCTTTTGAGGTTGACAGTTCAAACTGGTCACCTTTCGCTCCAAATGGTTTTAAATCCATGTTAACAGGAGCAACTGTAGCTTTTTTTGCATATGTTGGATTTGATGCAGTTGCTAATTCAGCCGAAGAATCTAAACGACCACAGGTATCTTAGAGATATATTGTTGCTTCGTGCTCCTATCTGGTACAATTATTTGAGCTTCTTATATCTGATCATATCAAATACACGTTCTTATTTTTGTTTGTTATGAATCATGTCAGCGGGATCTACCGATAGGCATAATTGGAAGCCTTCTTGTCTGTATAGCACTATACATTGGTGTTTGCTTAGTTATTACTGGTATGGTACCTTACAAATTTCTTGGAGAAGATGCTCCCTTGGCTGAGGCTTTCAAATCCAAGGGCTTAAATTTCGTATCAGTCTTGATCAGCATTGGAGCTGTTGCTGGGCTTACAACTACCCTACTGGTTGGTCTATATGTTCAGGTAAATTAGCCTAACATTTTGCAGTACGTTTTCTTGTACCTGTTTTCTTATCTTGTGTTTTACACCGAGTAGTGTGGTAGTCAATAATAGTTAGTAATATGGTGCATGGAACGGGGTTATTATGGGTAGATCATTATCTTTACTTTCGGGTTTTGCCATGCACTAAGGAAGGTTGGGTATAAATAGAAGGGGGTAGCTGTTGAGAGGGGTATGAGTTTTGTAAATCAGGCGTGAGCCATTTTGGAAGAAAACCAGCTTCTCGAATTGCTGGAACAACATTGCAATCATTCGAATGTGAGTGGTTAATACAAATCATACAATTAATTCGAGAAGCTAGTTTTCTCCCATAATGGCTGATTGACAAAACTCATACACCTCTCAACAGCTC